TTTTGCCTCTGCTCAACCTAGCTTTTCAGTTCCTTCATCTTTGAAAAATCTAACTGTATAAAAATTAGACGGCTAGACCTACTCATATAATCACTTCGTTCTTGATGTTCAGAATGTTCCCTCAACAGTTTGGAACAGATAATATTATTATTGGGCCCAGCCACTATTAAATGATGGGATCTTCAATATTTACTAATTGATTCTAATTCACAACCAACTATCTAATTTAAAAATACTATCTACAAAAATTATAGGCAGACAACCTAGATAGCTTACAACTACAAAGTGCTGTCCGGATTATAGATTTTTCAGATAGATTAAAACCTTAAAATTTAAATTGATACCAGTGCAATCAAATATCTCAAAATTGCGATTATCTTGACTTTAAATAGCAGGCATATAGCTTTAATTCTATTACAAGTTCATTAACTAATTTAGCTGATATTTCCCCCGCATTTGAGGTGGTGCCTCTTCCTAACGTTCAGAGGTACTTAAGTCCTACAACTTGAGTTAATCCTGAGTTAGATTTTTCAAAGATGAAGGAATTGAAAAATTAGGTTGAGCAGAAGCAAAATATGTGATTCCATTCTAAACAATCATGAAGTATACTTGCTCAGTACAAATCCTTGCGTAAATAGGTGAAATTTCAGATTCAGCATAAGTACCATCAACATCTATTTTGACAGAAAATTGATAACGAAAGTCAACAGTATTGTAAGTAATTGCATTCAATGAATGACCTCCAAAGTACGTACATTATTGTGAAGATAAAATTTGAGTGATAACTACATTATAAACATCTTGTGAAGTCCAATTTTTTATCATCATATCAAACCCATACTTTCCATGCTCTGATACAATGAATAAAACTAGATAGTTTTCTTTAGTCAATGAAAAAAAGTAACCATTTCCTAATTCATTATTAAACGCAGTATAGATGAGTCTCCTTTCAGATTCATTATTTTGATAGATTTACGGCAATGAACTATGACAAACTGATCCTCTTGATATATCAATCATTTCCAAGATTAGAATCAATAAGCATATCTTTAAAGCTTCTTGCATTTTTAATGATAATCCGTCTCTGGTATTTATCATAAGTCTGGTGCCAATTAAATTATTGTATATTATTCAATATTTTTTATTATCCATTTGCTTTTGCTAATTAATTTATAATTTAATATTTGAATTTTAGATAGCATGGCACATTTATATAATTTTTACATTTTATTGCATTATGTTATTGTCTAAATTTAGCAATTTAGTCTTATGGGGTTTTGGGGTTTTGGGGTTTTGGGG